TGCCTTTCTGGTTGGCTAGGCAAGCTGAGAGCAAGATGTCCTCACACCTCTTCCAATCTACTGATCCGGTGCAAGGCTCTCTCCTGCCTCTGTGGCAAGATTATGGTTATTTGCACACCTAGCAGAGAGACCTCAGGTGTTACCAAGCTTGCAGGCACCTTGATGATGGTCTTCCAGGTCCTAGCTGGTGTCCCCAGATGGAATGGCCACATCTCTATGTGGTGGTGGCAGTGGTGATAGCAAACCCACAGGCACCTTCATAGTGGGCTTCCAGGCCCGGGCTGGTGTCCCAAGATGGAGGCTGCTACAACTGGAGATGGTGATGGTGGTAACAGAGGTAACACAAGATGACAACAGAGGTGCTCCAAGATGGAAGTGACTACTTTCAGAAATGGGGCAGCAAGGGCAGGCTGTCCATTAATGGTGGGTGGCCATGTTCCAGATGTAGTGCTGTGGTGGGTGGAGCTATGGTAGGTGGCACTATGGCACGTGGTTATCTCCAGGCCCTTTCCAGTGTCCCAAGGTAGAGGTTCCCCATGTCAAGGTGGCTATGGTGGCAGCTGCAGTGTTCCAAGATGAAGGCATTCACATTGGAAGATGAGGCAGCAACAGCAGGCAGCTCAGTGATGATAGGTGGCCACATTGGTAGACAGGGAGCACACTGTGCAGTAGGTCTGCACTGCATTGGTAGGTCTGGCACTTCTTTATCATTTTGACATTAGAAAAGGCTACCTAAACAACAGCTAGCTATGCTAACTAACAGCTTAGTTCATATTTCCAATGACATAGCTACTGAAAGGTGGGCAGCATAGATAATGCATAAAAGAAATATATTGAGAATGCAAAAGTAGTAGCTACTATAATCCATTCCTTGACTGCCTAGCAATTAATATATTGGCATATTATTAATCTTCCTACCTTGATCATAGGAGTAAACTAAGCCAACCAGATTCTCTCCTTCAGGAAATTGTAGTATTGTTCTCTCGGTTAAATAACAAACACAATATATATACCCACTCTCCAGAAACTGCAATTAGTTAGAGCTGAGTCATCTGATGACACTATACCCATTGTAGATGTAGGCAGAGATTTCCTGATCCCTGCCCTTCCCTGGGTTTGGTTTTAATACCTTTTATGGATCCTTTCTTACATTCTTAGCCTAGTTATTTTTTCAGTATAAAATAATTATAAATGACAACCTGATAATTCTAAACAATAAACATAATTCTAAATGATACCCCAGTATAAGTGGGGTATATCAAAGACCAGGGAACATATAGGTGATGATCCAAGTATTTCTTCTTCCACTGTGAGTAAGAGAGATGATTTGAGCAGAATATTGAACCAATGTTTACAACATTCAGTAAACCCATGAGATCTAGAACAAACTTAATCAGAAGGAAAACAAAAGCCAAAATAAGTAGTTTTGAGAATACATATTGTTCACTTGTATAAAATTAAAAAACCCATTATAGTTGTCCTGTAACCAGGAAGATGGTTCATCTCTTAAAAAATATTATTACATACATTGACCCTCTTGCTTATTAAAGACTTTTAAAAATTAGATCATCAAGATAGAAATAGCCAACTCAGTTCTGGTGAGGGGAAATCCATACCACAGAACACATTTATCACTTCCATACTACCTCTATTTTGTAAATAAGCCTTCTGAATAAACTTTGGGTTGACTAAGAATAACTACATCTACAGTTCAGGTCATGTTATTTATTTGTTTACTTGTAGCTTTCTTTGAAGTAACAGTGTTACTAATGAAAATTCACACATGCTGGGCTCATTCCATGAGGCCAATTACAATTCTGTTTGGGAATGATATAAACAAATTATTTAAGCAAATTAATTCAAATTATTTTAAACCAAAAAAGAAAGAAACAAACATACTGATTCACATACCTGGCAAGATTGGGGATGAGATCTATATTAGATATCAAGCAATAGAATATTATCAGGATTCTGAACTGTTACCTTTGCTTCACTCTGGGGTTTCTATTAAAGATGGGGGCCTGTCTTTGGCAGAGCACATGAGACAACATCATGAATTTTTTTTCTTCTTCTGTTTCCCAGTATATGTCTTCATTTTACCAAAGTTTCAGACTCCCTTGTCTTGGATTATGCACCCATATCCTTCATACCCTGACCTCAATTTTGTTTCAGTCCTGTTGTACAACTCAATTACTTTTAAGAATAGCAGTCCTATCAGAACTTCATGGAGCAGAATAGGTACAAAGAACTAAGAGGAGGGGATTGGTATCATAAAAAATATATTCATTAGATAAAAAGTTCTACATCACAATAAAACACTATTTTGTAAATTAGTCTTGGATATTACAGACCGAAGAGACTTAGAAGAGAAACATTGTGAAGCATTTGAATGATCTATTTCCAGACTACTCAAAATGACCTGAAGTAAAAATCTGAATCCCAACATCCACGGAAGGTTCAGTTCTGTGGCAGTTGTAATTTTCATGTCTCACCAACAAGGATTGTGTTATGGTTTAGATATTAGGTATCCCACAAAACTGCATATGTGAGACAAAGCAAAAGAAGTTTAGAGATAAAATGATTGGGTTGTAAGAGGTTTAACCTAATCAGTGCATTAATCTGCTTGAAAGGAATAATTTGGTGGTAATTGTAGACAGGTAGGGTATGGTGGAGGAGGAGGGTCCCTAAAGGGGCGTGCATTTAGGGTTAATAGTTTGTGCTTGTTGAGTAGATCTCTCTCTTTATACTTCCTGCTGTCATGTCCTAAGATTTCCTCTGTCATACACTTCCACCACGATGCTCTGTCTCATCTCAGGCCCCAAGGAATGAAGTTAGCCATCTACATGGACTGAGACTTTTGAAACCATGAGCCACCTAATAAACTTTTCTTCCTCTAATTGTTCTTGTCAGGTTATATCAATGAAAAAGCTGTCTAAAACATGTTCATTACATAGTTTTATCCTTAAAACCATCTAGATGTGTTGCATATACACAGTATTGTGTTTCTATAACATTATTGATCATCAGTTATTAGCTTCTTGACCTGATAGGGCTTTTATTATGTTTTGCTTCATTCTGTTATTTTCTTTTTGATTCATTACTTTTTAGCTAAATATGTTCATCAAAGGGAAAAATTAAATGGTCATGTGTGTAAGACACAGGAAAAAAATTGCATGTAACTGAAAAGAAAAAAATAGTTTTCCAATGAACTTTTAAAATCTATTTCATTACTCCAAAGTTTAAATACATTTAAATAGCATTAAAATTTGTCAGGTAAGGCACAAGTTTTATTTTATCACTTTATGTGCCACTGGTTGTGTAGTTGTTATTTTGTAAATTCCCAAATCAGTAGAGCTCCCCTCTCACGAATATTAAATGAGTGGATTATACCCTATTGAGAAAGTTATGCCATCATTGGTGTGGAATCAATTGCAAAAAGTACAGATGTAACACAATACTATTTTCATTAAAAATATCTCTTCTAGTTGGAAAATGAACATGAAGGAATTCTGTAAAATCCAAATGTTAGTGTGAAAATTCCCCAATTGTCACCTTTTAAAAAAAATCAGACTTCTCCCTATCATTCCCAGGCTTAAAGCATTTTGCTCTCATCCAATAACCTTATTCTAACCAAATTAAAAGCAATGTAATGCTAAGATATTAACAAAAGAGAAAGGAAAAAAAGAGAGTTAAGGTGGGGGAGGTGTGGGGGGACAACCACATGGATAGAGAAGAAGAGGAGCTTGTTACCACATAGTTATCCTGCTCAGTATTAAAAATAACTGTCCATTTAATCCTCCTTTCAGGAAAAAAGAGGGAACATAAACAGAAAAAAAATTCTTTGCAATTATCTTCATACTTATTTCTCAGGATTGGCAAACATAACAGAAACCATGTATGCAAAACGCCCACCAATGCAAATGACACACAATTAATGTACAATAGATGGAAGCTATTAGTAGTTCTTTAAGAAATTCAAGTTAGTTTTTTTTTTTTTTTTTTTTGGTCTTATTTTCCTGGTTCAAGTAAAACACACATTCCTTTGGGAGAAAAAGTAAATCTGGGGCTGGGATTGTGGCTCCGTGATAGAGTGCTTGCATGTATGAGGTACTGGGCTCGATTCTAAGCACAGCATGTAAACAAATAAAATAAAGGTCCATTGACAACAAAAAATATTTACAGAAAAAAAGTAAATCTGAAAACTCTTGATTCCTACCAACTGCCCTACTTAGTTATTATCACTGGTAAAACTCTGGAAAAGGATCTTTCCATTCACAATCTTTGTAACTTGTTTTTGCACTTGAAGTATATCATGAACATCTTCTCATGTTAACTAAAATCAATTTAATTCCAATGTTTCTATGTAGTACAGACTTACATATAATATATTATTTGATCAATTTCCCCTTAATTATCACTTTTGTTCCCTTCTTTAAATATCCAATAAGAGATGCTATAATAGGTAGAAATGCAAGTAAATATTAGTGTTTGCTGATTTTTGCTTTGGGGAAATAGATCCTCTACATGTAACTGGTACTTAAAATTATGATATATAAAATAGTTTTTATTTTTAAGATCTGTCTTCTGCTTTAGACTGCAAATAAATTTTTGAAAGATCCAGATATCTCTTCTCCTTTCCCTTTTCTCTATTTTACTGAAATAATCTTGTTTTGTAATTCTTACTCTCAGGGCTAAGGGTTTGGTAGAAAGTGAAAGCATCCTAAAGAATCCTGCTTTCTATAAAAAACCTAAAACCACTATAGAGATTATGTTAGACATCCTGGGGAGCAGCACCACAAGAAAGGGATGTCTGGCTGGAGAAAAATGCTTGTGGGTGCATTCAGTTAAATAAAACATAGTTGCTTTGAGGCAAGGTATCTAGAGAGAATATGGTAGAAGCATAGCACATTTAAGAAGTTTGAATGCTAACAAGTAACCCACATACCACATCTTCTTATTCTGTATTTTGCCTTTTTTCTTTTCGGGGGTTTTAGTCTAACCTGGTTTTAGTGGCTTCTACTTATGTAGTTCCCGATCATCCATTTCATCCTGCCACTTGAAGTGTGTCTTCTCTGTTACTCAATTTCTCTAGGATAGTTTGAGAGAGTTCCTGGACTTCAAGGGTCTGCTGTGGAAAAGGTGAAGATGCCAAATTTGTGTTATTTATAACTATATTTCTAGTTCCTAAAAGAATGTCTGGAACATGGCAGTCATTCAGTATTGATTAAATTGAATTTGAAAATAAAAATAAAGTACATACTAAACAAATATTGGGAACATATTTCTTCTTACTTGGGGGATACTGAAGAGAAATTATTGAATAGAAAACATTTGAGATAGAAGTACTCAGGGGTAGTATCTGGCAGAATCATGATACACATGATAATACAAAGACCTGGGCTACTGTTCAGCAGAACTTAAGAAGCCAAATAGGGAGACTAAAAACAAATTCTAAAATGACCATCACAAACTGATTTGGCTGTACTTATCTTATGCATTGCCATTTTCCTTGCTCAGTTTCAGTCTATACTATAGTTCATGACTTCTACTTACCCATTTCCTGACTATATAATGCCATTCCATTTGAAGTGTGTCTTTTTCTTCCTTACTCAATTTCTCTTGGATGATTGCAGTCTCCCTGTGTATGGCCCATGATCCCCACCTCTTCCTCTTAAGGCTAGCTCACTTATAGCTTTGGAATTCAGAGTACAGAGCTTTCAACAAATCAAGCTGGGTACATGGACTTAATGTTTTTGATTTGTTATTGTTGTTTTGGTACTGGTGATTGTACCCCAGGGACATGTAAACACTGAGCCACATCCCCAGCCCCACCCCTTTTTTTTTTAAGAGTCGGGGTCTCAATAAGATGCTTAGAGTCTCCTCAAGTTGCTGAGGCTGGCTTTGAAGTTGCCATCCTCTTGTCTTAGCCTCCTGAGCCACTAACTAGGATTACAGGTGTGCATCACCATGTATGGCCACATACTTAAAAAGAATTGTTTTCAGATTGAAAAAACAGGAAGGGCAAAGTCCAGGGGAAAAAGGCAAAAGGAAAAGTTATAGGATGTCACATAAAAAAAGTATCAGGAAGGAAAGAAGCCCCATATTCCACAATATAATATGTTCAATATCACCCATCCCTTATGTTCAGTCTCATTATATTAAGAATCAATATAAATAAAACCAAATGTTAGATATTGTATAATACCTTAAAATCTGCATTGAAAAAAAACAATATTATTTCTGAGAGATCATATAAAAAGTGATGAATAGAAAACATGACTTTATATTTTGATGCAAACTAGAAAACTGCATTTTTTTTGTTTTTTTTTTTTTTAAGAAAGGATGATAGAAAAATTTTGAGGGGGTGATCACCATTTCTAAAAAGCACCATGCTGGCTGAAGTTTCCCAAAATAGATGCTTTTTCTTTTTTTTTGTTTTAGGCTGTAATTCATCCCCAGTGTGCTCTACATTAGTATTTGGTTTGCAAACTTCTCAAACTTGGGAAAATTTTTTACAGGAAAGCAAAATTAAATTGAAGTTTAGTTAGGAAATCTATACAGGATTCCATTTCACGGTAGGTGAATCCAATCAACACTCAAAAATTAAGAAGTTGATTAGCTAATGTATGTCTTATCAAGGGCATATACTTCTCTTTTTCTTCAGTTGCTTCTCCTTTAGCTACTAAATTATTTCAATTTCTAACAGATAAGAACCAAATATAGAAATTTTCACAATAAAAAAGTAGATAAAGCTATGAAATCACACAATATAACAGATCAATATTGTATATCTTCAAATTGTTAAATCAGTGCTAAGTCAAAAATAATCATCATAAAAAATCCACACAAAAAACATATTTGAAATATTTTCTGTAAACACTGAAATTGTTTATTAAATAAAAATATTTTTGAGTTATTAATTTCATTGACCTACAACTGCTACCATGGAAATCCTAAAATATATGGTGGACATATTACTGTTGATAGCATTAACTGTGTCCTGGACCGCTGGAGAAAAACATATAAGGTAAAACAAAATTAATGTTTCAACTAATTCAAAGGGAAGAAGAATGAATTGCCATCCAAATGAACAAGTAGAACTTCATTCCCAAGTCTTCCAATTTAAACATTAAACCGAGCAAAGGAAGACTAACAGTTTGTTCAGTGATTTATTCCCACCCCTCTGTATATACTAAATTGTTTTCTGTAAACTGGTCAGAGTATTCTCTTTAGGGAATTATTTTAATAAATCCAATTAAAGTATATTCTATTCGCATCCTGAAAATTTAATTTCGCAAAAGTTTCTAACGTGACACTTATCAGAATTTTTTTTATTTATATATGACAGCGGAATGCATTACAATTCTTATTGCGCAAATAGAGCAAAATTTCTCATACTCTGGTTATACATATAATATATTCACACCAATTTGTGTCTTCATACTTGTACTTTGGATAATAATGATCATCACATTCCACCATCATTAATGACCGCATGACCCCACTCTTCCCCTTCAACCCCTCTGCCCTATCTAGAGTTCCTCTATTCCTCCCATGCTCCCTCTCCCTATCCCACTATGAATCAGCATCCTTAGCATTTGGTTTTATGGGATCGATTAACTTTGCTTAGCATAATATTCTCCAACTCCATCTATCTACCTGCAAATGCCATGATTTTATTCTATTTTATTGCTGAGTAATATTCCATTGTGTATATATGCCACAATTTTTTTAGCCATTCATCTATTGAAGGGCATCTAGGTTGGCTACAGGGTTTAGCTACTGTGAATTGTGCTGCTATAAACATTGATGTGGCTGTATCCCTATAGTATGCTGTTTTTAAGTCCTTTGTGTATAGAACCAAGGAGAAGGATAGCTGGGTCAAATGGTGGTTCCATTCCCAATTTTCCAAGAAATCTCCAAACTGCTTTCCATATTGGCTGCACCAATTTTCAGTTCCACCAGCAGTGTAAGAGTGTACCTTTTCCCCCATGTCCTCACCAACACTTATTTTTGTTTGTATGCATAATAGCTGCCATTCTAATTTTAAAGAGAACATGACCAAACTGAAACCTTCTTTGGAACTGCCACTTAGTATCTAAAGGAAATAAAGATTATAATACATTTTCCATTGAAAAATATTTTTATACATTTGTTTTTAAAAAGGCAGTAAAAATATGTTGGATTTCACATTGACACATCTTAAAATAAAATGAACTTTGTTTGAAAAGATTTCTCTATTTTTTATAATGTCATCTAAATACATCATTATTACATGATATCCGCTTAGACTCAATATGGAAATTTGTAACAGGAATAGAGTAAACAATTTATCAATCTTAGATGTGTTTTTTGCTAACTTACTCAACAAATCTTTATTAAACTCTAGCTCAAGGCTGGTTCTGTAGCTAACTCATAGTTTATATCCTAAATTCATTTGGTTCTATCTCATTTGGACACAGGGAAGCTAAATAGCTCCTGAAGAGCCATACTTCTTAGGCTTGTACTGATAATATAACATGAGGCATTCTGAATGGTGCATTTTGATCAATAAGTTTGGTCACTTCATTTTCAAAACTTAAATGTATTTACACAGATAATATATTATTTATTACTACTGGACTTATCTTAATTGTCTTAATTGTTGCTCTCTTTTTTTTCTATCACTACAACTACTCCATTTCAGGATCATGCCAACTCAGATAAGATAATCTGAGTCACTCCATATTGTATTCCTTGTCTTTGTTACGCTGTTTTCCAACTCATTCAAATTATTTTCAACACATACCAGTTCTAATTACTCATATTCTCCTGGCACTTCCAAGCTCAGCCTTTTACTAGTGGTGAAGCAAATTTGTCCAAAGAAAGCACTGTATTACATCTCACTGGGATCTGATGAGGTAAACACTGTTGAATGAACTCTGGGTACAAGCCTTCCCATCACTTTGGAACTGTGTACTAACTCCCTAATTTTGATAAACATTTGATTTCTGTTGTTTACTCTCACTTTTTAAAAATTTTTCTCCACTTCCCTAATAACACTGAAATTCCATTGGGAAATTCAGTACATTTCATGAAAATACTTCATTTCAGCTTCAATTAATGTCTGAAACCCTAATATTTTGTACCACTCATATTTTTAAGTAGAAATAACACCAGGAAAGATATATGGTATTTTATAATTCTAATATACACAATATTATTTTGAACAAAAAGACTGATCTTTAATAGATATTAAGGTGAATACTGATAGACCTTGATAATCAAGTGGCCCTGATTTCTACCTGTCTATATAATGTCACATTATACCCACTGTCTGGCAACTAACTTGGATGCTTCCTTTGGATGGCTTTACAGTAACTTAGCTGAGACTAAGTGCTCTCTTCCTTCTAAACTCAACTCCTTCAGGAACCACATTTCAAGATCCCAAATTACTGGGCAGTACATTTTCTAACCCTCAATTGGACCTAAGTACAAATTGTCCATTTCTTTCCAAACAAATCTACTATCACACTGCTCTATTAAAAGAGAACTATATCTATAAGACATTAATTTTTTTTAAAAAAAAGAACTATAAGTAACAGAAGGATCACTATGGTAGAAGGAAGGGAAAGGGGGAAAGGGAGAAGAGAGAGAAAGGGAAAGTACTGGTGATTGAATTAGAACAAATTATATTCCATGCTTTTATAATTATGTTAAAATGAAATCTATTGTTATGTATAACTAAAAAGAACCAATAAAAGTAATAAAAAAGAGAAGAACTAATGTTAAAAGTTTTTCTCCTGAAACCCAAACCCATATACCACTTAGCAGTATCTTCATCCAAACCTTCCTTCCCACAGGATACTGAAAGAATAATGGACATGTAACTACTGATCCTCTTGCCTGGGAGTTCCATTCTGTACCCAGTAATGCTTATTGATGTTTACCCAAGTTTGTACTACACACTATAAGATAAAATTTTCTTCCTGGTTTCTTTTTTATTCTGATTTTTAATACGTACCCCTGAAATAAGATAACATAATTCAAATGGGCACAGAGCCAAAATGTATTCATAGTATTTCAGTTATTTAAATGGCCATCTGCATATCAGATGTTGAGAAATAAAATTAACTGAAATTCAGAGGC